CCACTTTCTGAAGGAGTTCTGGAAGTCCTCTTTTGTGTCTTTAGTTGCGATGTCATGGCTGCCTCAATGTCCTGAATTGATTCTAAACGTTTACCTTTCGTGGTCATTTTGACATTGGGGAAGAGCCAGGAGTTGCATGGTGCCAGGTCCAGTGAATAAGGTGGATGAGGACACACCGTAATGCTTTTGACAGAAATTGGCGTTCCAGAAGCGATGTGTGACATGGAGCCTTTCTGTTGTGATCAAACAATACAGAGAATGCTGCTGCCATCCAATGGAAAAGCAGGATCTTCATACAGGAAGCAGCGCCTCAGCCTTAGTAACAGTGTATGAGAAGTTTCAACTTGTTTGGTGCAGTCAGTCGGGTATGAGCTACGGTTGAGAGAAGGTGTATTTTAAAGTGTGCTATAGGGCTGCATTTCCTCTTCTCTGGGCTTGTGGCTCTTTCCTTGCTTCGCGAAGATGCAGCTCAAACCGATGGAGATTAACCCCGAGATGCTGAACAAAGTGCTGGCCCAGCTGGGGGTCGCCGGCCAGTGGCGCTTCGTGGACGTGCTGGGACTGAAGGAGGAGGCTTTGAGCTCAGTGCCTGCGCCTGCCTGCGCGCTGCTGCTGCTGCTGTTTCCCCTCACCGCCCAGCACGAGAACTTCAGGAAAAAACAGATTGAAGAACTGAAGGGACAAGAAGTCAGCACTAACGTGTATTTCATGAAGCAGACCATTGGAAACTCCTGTGGCACCATTGGACTTACACACGCGGTAGCCAATAATCAAGACAAACTGGAATTTGAGGATGGGTCAGTCCTGAGACAGTTTCTTTCTGAAACGGAGAAGTTGTCCTCTGAAGACAGAGCAAAATGCTTTGAAAAGAATGAGGCCATTCAGGCAGCCCATGATGCCGTGGCACAGGAAGGCCAATGTCGGGTAGATGACAAAGTGAGCTTTCATTTTATTCTGTTTAACAACGTGGATGGCCACCTCTATGAACTTGATGGACGGCTGCCTTTCCCAGTGAACCACGGCACCAGCTCAGAGGACTTGCTGCTGCAGGACGCCGCCAAGGTCTGCAGAGAATTCACTGAGCGTGAGCAAGGGGACATGCGCTTTTCTGCCGTGGCCCTCTGCAAGGCCGCCTAATGCGCTACGGGAAGGGACTACGCTTCTCCCCACTCTGCCCTTCACTATGAAAATCTATCCCTACCAGTGCAGTCTTATAATGCTTCAGTACTTGTAGAACACAGCTGTTCTTCTTTGGTTGGAAAGATAGGCTCTTACCCTTAACCACACCCAAGTGCTAGCAGATAACAGAGCTCAGCTGTCGACTGAGCAAAGTGTGGTGTGTGCTTCACGTGGCGAAGCATTTCCCCCCATTGTATGTCTTGTACTTCAATATCTAATGCTTTAAATGGCTACTTTGGTTTGTGTCTGTAAGTTAAGGCCTTGGATGTGGTTTAAATTGTTTGTCCTTAAAAGAAATAAAACTTTTCTGCTGATAAGAAAAATAAATAAAGTGTGCTATAAATCATCCTCCATCATGACAACACTCTGTGTCACACATCACTTCTGGTACAGCAATTTCTGTCAAATAAAAACATTATGGTATGTCATTATCACCCTTATTCACCGGATCTGGCACCACGTGACTTCTGCCTCTTCCCCAAAGTCAAAATGATTCAGGACATGGAGGCAGCCATGACATCGCAACTAAAAACACTCAGGAAAGAGGATTTCCAGAACTGCTTCAGAAAGTGGAAAGAAGATGAGATGGGTGTGTTCAAAGCGAGGGGGAGTATTTTAAGGGGGACAAGTGGAAATGTGTCTTTTACCGTAATAATTTTTCTAATTAAACATTCACTGTATCTTTTCATCATACCTCATATGTTAATTATACCATGTAGAAATTCTGTCCTTAGACAATGTATTGCTTGTTTACTCATCAATTGAACAAGTATGGTAAAATCTCAGAAACTACATTTCTGAATAAATTTTGTTAGTACATAAATTTTGGCTGAGGTTTTGTTTTCTAGAGAATTCATGCCAATTTCTGAATCATTAGGAGGAACTTAAGAACATTCTTTAATAACAAGAATTAGTAATAGAGATAATCCTAAAGACTGCACTAATAGAGATAAATCCTAAAGACTGCATACACAGAGAAACACACACATACACACTATCAAAACAATAAACAAACACAGTAAAGTTGCAGGATACAAAATCAATGTACATAAATCCATTACATGCCTATACACTAACAATAAGATTTCAGAAAAAAAATGAAAAAAACATTTTTTGCAATTGTAACAAAAAGAATAAAATACCTAGTGATAAATGTAACAAAAAATATGAAGGACCTGTACACTGAAAACTATAAGACATTATTTAAAAATTGAAGAAGACACAAAGAAGTGGAATGACATCCATGTTCATGGATTGGAAGAATCAACATAGTTAAATTGGTCATATTACCCAAAGCAACACACATATGTAATGCAATCCCCATCAAAATCCCAATGGCATCTTTTAAAGAAATAGAACAAAAAGTCATCAGGTTTGTATGGAATCACATAAGACCCCAAATAGCCAAAGCAATCCTGAGAAAAAAGGATAAGACTGGAGGTATCACTCCCTGACTTCAATTTATACTATAAAGTGATAATAATCAAAATAGCATTGTATTGGCAGCAAAAAACAGACACATGGACAAATGGAATAGAATTGAGAATGCAGAAATAAATCCACATATTTGTGGGCAGATAATTTTTGACAAAAGAGCTAAAAACATACAATGGAGAAAAGAAATCCTCTTCAATAAACGGTACTGGAAAATTGGAAAGCCAAGTGCAAAAGAATGAAACTAGACTGCTATCTATCACTATATACCAAAATTAACTCAAAATGGACCAAAGACCTAAACATAAGACTTGAAACAATAAACTGCATAGTAGAAAGCATAGGTGCTAAACTTATGGACCTTGGGTTCAGAGAGGATTTTATGAATTTGACCTCAAAGGCACGGGAAGTAAAAGCAAAAATAAATGAATGGGACTATATCAAACTAAAAAGCTTCTGCACAGCAAAAGAAACCGTCAACAAAAGGCAACCAACAAAATGGGAGAAGATATTTGCAAACAAATCCTCCAATAAGGGGCTAATATCCAAAATATATAAGGAACTCATACAACTCAACAAAAAACAAACAAACAAAAAAAAAAACGATCCAATTAAAAAATGGAGAGAGGACCTGAACAGACATTTCTCCCAAGAAAACTAACAGCCAACAGATATATGAAAATATGCTCAACTTCACTAGTAAAATTATATAGGTTTCAAGTGTACAATTTATAATATATCATCTATATATTGCCTTGTGTGTTCACCACCCAGAGTCAGTTCTTCTTCCATCACTATGTACTTGACCCCCTTTACCCTGGGTGTAGTGGTGAACATAGCTGCCTTCCAAACACGCTTCTTTTAATGATGAGTCTCCAATTATATTACTCCATTCGAACTTCTCAAAAAATTTTCACCATACACTGTGCTAGGACATTATTTTGCCTTTCCATTTATGTATTCATTTATATATTCAGTTTGTACTCACGTTTCTCCTTCACCTGTGCAATCCAAGGCCTTACTCCACTCCATCATGTTGTTTTAATGGTGTCCAATGAGTTCTATTTTCTTAAATAATTAATAAAATTTTGATTTGATCCATTATTTGAACAATTCAATTCTATAGATAGATATCTGTGGCTACCTAAATGCATAGAAGTTCTATAGAAGCTAGAAATTTGTAGTTCTCATTTTGACAGTAATAGAAAAAAAATTTAAGGCATTCTCTAGATCAGCGGTTCTCAACCTGTGGGTCATGACCTCTTCGGGGGTCGAACGACCCTTTCACAGGGGTCGCCTAAGACCATCGGAAAACAAAAAGATATTTACATTACGATTCATAACAGTAGCAAAATTACAGTTATAGAGTAGCAACGAAAATAATTTGATGGTTGGGGGTCACCACAACATGAGGAACTGTATTAAGGGGTCATGGCATTAGGAAGGTGGAGAACCGCTGCTCTAGATCAAATAATTTCAGTACCAACATTTACATTTGTTTGTACACTCTCACTAATATTAAGTGAAGATTCCACAGTGGCACTGCCACTCACCTTTTCACTAGGGTACCTATAGTTCTCAGACATTTAAAAGTAGCCAGTTATCTTACTCGTCTAACACAACCCCATTTAACATCCATTACTTCTGTATAATTATAAGTAGACCCCCTCTTTTATACTCAAGTATGGCTCAGTTTGGATAACAAATTATATGGCTACCCTATTTATTACCAGTACCACATTTTGTTACTACAGAAAGAGGATTTTTCTGGAAATTTTTTCTATAATTATTAAAATGTTGTGATTTTAACATGATTTTATTAAAATCACTAGAAAAACTCTTCCAAATTTTATTACCATTATTTATTACATAAATAATATTTTTATTGTTTAGATACCACAAAAACAACTTTTGCTTTTTATGTTGTTGCGATGAATATAGAAACTGAGTGAAAAATATGATTCTAAATTTCTGATATTCCTTTTTGATGAGAATGCAGGGAAGATTACAAGGTCAAATGGACCCTCTAGGTCTAAGATGATCAATATGAGTATAACTTATGCACATTTAGAGACTTATTCATGGAACCAGATTGAAAAGATGAGTTCCAGTTAGAAACTTATGGGTAAAATCTAAAGGGAAAAAAAATCAAAGAAAAGTGTAACAGAACTTGAACAAGAAAATGATGTCTCATATTATTAGAGAAAAGCTGGAAGAAACACAGATCAAAAAATAAAAAACAAAGTATGTTAAAGTAAATTATAATATTAATGAACTGACACCAGTGTCTATGATTATTTTTATTACAGCAAAGTTCCTGGTTTAGTAAACTTAAGTCAAGCAAATATCACTTGAATAGGGTATGTAATGAGTAGGGAAAGTGACTTTCAGTTGATTTGCCTTCCAATCAAACTTGGTTTCTGGCACCAGACTTTCCTCAAAGCATTCTTCATTTCCATGTTTCTGAGTGTATAGATTACAGGGTTGAACAAGGGAGCAACGATGGTGTAGAAAAGAGCAAACACTTTGTCTTCTGGAAAAGTTGTGGCTGGTCTAATATAAATAAAGAATACAGGCACAAAAAACAGGACCACTACTGTGAGGTGAGAACTGCAAGTGGAAAGAGCTTTGGTACGGCTTTCTGCAGGGTAAGCCCTGATAGTGTAAAATATCAGAAAATAAGACACCATCAAAATCACAAAAATCACCAAAGCGATCAGACCTGAATTAACAACTACCAAGAGACCAATTCTGTACGTGTCGGTGCAAGCCAATTTCAGCAAAGGATACACATCGCAGAAGTAGTGATCTATCTCATTGGGGCCACAGAACGGTAAAAAGATGGTGAGAAGACACAGACTGGCAGAGTGTATAAATCCCCCAGTACAACAAGCTATGATGATCATGTTACACTTTTGCTTGTTCATGATGACGGCATAGTGCAGGGGCTTGCAGATGGCCACATAGCGGTCATAGGCCATCCCTGTGAGGATAAAGATCTCTATGGCACCAAGGAAGTGAAGGGTGACAAGCTGTGTCATGCAGTTATTGTAGGAAATGGTCTTCCTTTTTTCCAGTAAACCAGTCATTAGTTTGGGCATCACTGTTGATGTATAGCAAAGGTCGGTGAGTGAGAGGTAATTAAGGAAAAAATACATGGGTTGGTCAATTAGTGGACTGCATGTAATAGAAATCATTATGAGCAAATTTCCCATCCAAATAGCAATGTAGCAAAGTAAAAATAATACAAAACAAAGGATTTCAATGTCCTTGTTTTGAGATAGTCCCAAGAGAATAAACACAGTGACATTACTCCTGTTTTCCATGGTCCAGGGTAGTAAAAATGCATTAACAGTTCCCTGAAAAGACATAAGCATAAGTCGATGTCAGAAATGTCCATGGAGAATATTGATGATAATACTAACATCATGAAGCGATGCTTAATGGACATGATCTCAGTGTTTCCCAAATTAACATTCAATTTTAATGATTCTTTTTTTTAAAGAGTCTCACGATGCTTTCTATAAGTCAGTCTTTCAGGACATTATATTCAATCTTGACATTAATAAAAATGAATGCATTCAACCAATCAAAAGATGAAATAATGCCATTTGCAACAACATGGATGGATCTTGAGATTATTATGCTAAGCGAAATAAGTCACACAGAAAAAGCCGAGAACCATATGATTTCACTGACATGTGGGATATAAAACTGAAAGCAACAAAGGAATAAGACAAACAAATAAAGAAACAAAAACTCATAGACACAGACAATAGTTTAGTGGTTACCAGAGGGTAAGTGGGGAGAGGGGTGGTAGATGAGGGTAAAGGGGTCAAATATATGGTGATGGAAGGGCTGACTAGGTGGTGAACACACAATGTGATATATAGATGATGTATTACAGAATTGTACTCTTGAAACCTATGTAATTTTATAACCAATGTCACCCCAATAAATTTTAATTAAAAATTTGTTTTTAATTATCATTAGCTGCCAACTATTTTCCAATTCTAAAGGAATATACAGCTAAGTCATTGGAAAGGACATTACTCTGGGTCATTTCAAACAGATTTGTTAAAGACGCAAGTATAAGTCAAAGTTTTTGTTTAATGATATAGAAGTGAATGTAAAGTCATCACTAGTGGAATACATGCTAACTGAAAATAAATTTAGAGTGATATAGAAAAAGATTTAAAGATTTATATAATGATACATCTATATTTACATAGTGGAAGATAAAAACTCTCTGCAAGAGGCCCATGCAATTGGTCTGAATAATTTTTTGATTGCTTGTTTAATTTTTTCTTAGTGATTTCTGACAGTAAAATGCTGATGTTTTATAATAGAAGTATAATATTTCTATAGGGACATCAGTAAAAATCATATATTTAAATGAACAGCAGAATAAGGCAATAGTTAAAATTCAAAAAGAGGAGCAGATGGCAGTTATTCCTTCACGGTTTTGCTCTTGGCTCGGTGTATCATATTATGCAAGTCAATTTCTTTTCAGGGGTTTAAGTCAGAGTATGAATTTCTGTTCTATATTTGTCCAATTGATGCCTTTTTCCAAAACCCATAAAGACTATTGACACTGCATAATTCATAGAAAAAGTTTATGGGAAGTATGTGGGAAAGGTTTATGTGAAGACAAACAGTGGGGACCCAGGTTCTATTACTTATTATACCAGTGTGCAAATCAGTGTATCAATCACTTTATTTCTTGGAATTCAAGTTATCTCGTTTGTGAAATGAGGAAACCTCCCAGGACTTTGTCATTAAAAAATGGTCATGAAATTCAAACAAATCAATAAGTAGTCATTGTTTTATTAACCATAAAAGTATTCTCTGCTGATTTTATCTTCATGTCAGTGTTACCAAATCAGTAATCTAAAGTTGTCAGTAATAAAGTCCAGTAAATATGACTCTTATATAGAAAATGCCATTTTAAAATCATAAAATTATTTTGAACAGGAATGAAACTTTGAGATCTACTTGTCAAATCCCCTAGTTCTAAATAGAGGTATTTTAATTAAAAGTATATAGAAAATATAGAGAATAATAAGGATAGTTTGAATTTCTTTATTATTTATTGATCATATTAAATCAATGGGACTTGATATATTAAAACGTAGGCAATTCCGTAGGGGTTGACCATAGCGTCTACTAACTTAGCTTGAATCTCAGTGCTGATGAAAAAAATAACATAGAACTGGTAACCACATGATCCAATTCTTTTAATACAAATTTTGACCCTAAAGTCTATCATTAATACTCATCACACTTCCTTAAAATTAGTGATATACTTCTGCCCTAATCTTGTAGCTATATTTTCTCATCAATTTATTTTTAAATTCTCTCCTCATCACTCTCTCTTACAGATTAAGTTAACTGTGTCACCTTCCAAATAAAAAATTCCATTGCAATGGAGCTTTAAAACAAATGAATTTATATGGTGCAATTTTAAGATTTAGATTATCTTCTAGAGAAGCCATTAAAAAGTAAGGTTTCATACCTTCAATTATACCATGTAACTATTTCTTTACTTATAAATAGACTATTTTTAAAATAATATTTAAAATACTGGTTCTAAAATTTAATTTTAAAGTAACTGCTTATTCATTTAAATAGATATAAACAAAACCATTATTTTAATGATGTACATGGAAATAACAATCACCTGAGTTATTTTCCCCTCCTCGTCCCCCTAAACTAGAGAATTTTGATTCATACATAAAATTAGGCCCCTGAAGAAACTAAGGTTGTTAGAATACTCAGGCAAAGTCAATCATTCTGTCTTCATATGACACAAAATTAATTTCCTGATAATTAAATGTGGTCTGATCTTCTAACCAAACAATTTTGCTAAATATGTGCTTGAATCTCCAGTTTTCTTGGCCATTCTCAAGGCCACATAATGCTTTATTTCCCTTCTTGGCCTCCTTCTCTTTTCATTTCAGCTTCCCCATACACTTGTGGTTCATCATGTGTAAATGACTATCTCAGTTTCTAGCTTCTAAATTTTAGAGCGTGAGAAGATCTCTACTTCCTATTCTTGACTCAGTCATCAATTTTAAGTGTGAACTCCTAACTTTATACCCTTCAACACTTTTCTTTATCTAAAATAAAGAGAAATAATTCATCCTGTAAGTAAATCACAGTTATGAATTTCAAATTTAAAAATGTATGAAGATCTTTAAAAAAATAAAATGCTATGCAAATGAGTATGATATTAAGTTAAGAGTAATAATAATTTAGAGACGTAAAAATTAGTTGAGGCTTTCCTGATAAAGTATATGAGGAACACCTAACTGGTATTTAGCAAACCAGAAGTTAAAACCAGAGTTTTCTGAGTCTAGAACCCGAGTTCATACATAAAAAATGTAGAGTCAAAGCAACAGGATAAATTTATGTTAAAAATCCCACTTTTTCACAGTTAACCTAATTATTTCATGGAAAACCAGATAACCTCAAAAGTTATTGTCCTTGAAGCATTTCAAGCCATTCTAATTTTGATATGCAAATGACAAAATGAGATAATAAATTAAGCCAAACTCTCTACATTTATAAAAAGAATACATCATACTCAAACAAAACTGTATAAACTCAATCTGTTCATCTCTTCTATATATGGAGCCCATTTATAAAGAGTAAAAAAGTTACACTGACATACACAAATATAATGCACTAAATCTCCTCACACTCTCAGACATGAGTGATGCCATTACTGCCACAAATAGTCCCTCTGGAAGAACAATGACTGAAAAAAAAGAGATTGTCATTTATTCTCCGGTACAGCTCTACACTCACTTTAGGGACTTGTATGCACTTACTCTAGTGTTTCTATCTTTAAAATAGAATCTAGTCTTGATGATTTATATAATATGCTTCAGTTAAGATTTTGCGTAACCCTTGGACTCTCTACTATTGTTAAAAGTAAAGACTTGAAAAACCTTGAACATAATAAAATGAAATTGTTTGGGTTTATGTTCGAGCTTTGCTTAGTGTCACAATGACACTAAGAAGTAAATATTAATAGGAAATCCATTTTATAAAAGAAGAGAGTCATAAAGAAATTAATTAGCCCAAGAAGTAATAGTCAAGATCTAAAATCATATACATTTCTCTTAGCAAAATGTTATGCCCTTAGCATAGTTTCTGATGCATAGTGTGTACTCAATGAAGATTTCATGCTATTATTACTTAAAACAAAGAATCTCACTGACCTCAATATTTCACTTGTTAATCTAGGCCAAAGTAAACTCTATATACCCTTAATTTTCACAAACCTAAATTCTGCAAAAATAGACTGTCTTATGTTCTGCCTTGAAATATTAAGAAGCACTTGCACAAATTGAATTTTGAATTCTAGCCACTTCTCCCTGATCTGTGTGATTTTTGGCAAGTGCTGTTTTTTCTCAAATCATCATATTGCTGATGAGTATATCTATCTCGCAATGCTGTTGGGAGATCAGTGAGATAAAGTGTATGTCACCCAGTATGTGGTAGGAACTCAATAACTATTTCCAATTATTTTACTTTTGTTCTACCTCTTGTCAAATACAGGCTACCATTCAATTAACCAAGAATCATTAAATGTTTGTTGAATGATAACTTCAATGATTTCAAATGGTATATAAATAAAATATTTGATAATTGAAATCATTACCATCACAATTATCACAGGCAACAAGGGCAGGCAATAAAGTAAATAGAGATAATAAGGTAAACAGAGGCTCAAGTTTTGAGATACTGTCAGTTGATTTTTAGTGACCTGCTACAGGTCCTTGGTTAGGTGAATTCTTGAGCCAACTTTCTTTTAGAGGAAGAAATAGGGAGCATGGCAGTGGTTACTGCAGGGAACTTATTTGTCCTTTCAATTTGGGTTTTCTCACTTTCTTGGTAACTAGTGAATCACTGTTATACTTAATCAATGCTTTGTTCATCTTTTACAAAGTTCAGATAATGGTTACTTTTTATTTCAAATTTTCTATTCAGCTAAGCATCATTTCTCCATCACTGTCTGCCTGTCCCTTTAGAATGTCATATCATACCCTCAATGGGCAACTCCTTGAATTTATCGCTGCCCTAATCTCAAAACAAACTTGTCTATAAAATTCAGAGAAGATGCTTGCATTTACTTTTACTGGCAGCCAATGTGCAATTTATACAATGAAGACAAAAATATATTCAACTGATACCACACATTCAGGCAGGAAACTGGAAAGGAAGGAGAAATAGTTCACCACACATGGTCTTCCATTTCAATTGTGAACTTATTGCTTTCCTTCCTTTCAGTGTTGTCTCTCTTTCCTCATTGAAATTC